GGGAAGTCGGTTGCTATCACTCCTACTCCAGACTCAACTCCGGTCTTGGCAATCGGGCAAAGTCGAGGGAGGAAGAGAAAGAGATCTTCGAAGGGTACCAAGGCTCGGACCCTTGATGGCTCTTCTTCAAGTGGAACCAAGAAAGGTTTCATTACTCCTTCTTCTGACCCAAAAGAGGCTGAATGCTTCTATTGCCATGAAAAAGCTCATTGGAAGCGAACTGCCCAAAGTACCAGCAAGATGTGAAGGATGGGAAAGTCAAACCCAACCATGCAGGTATTTACACTATCATTTCTAATAACTCACCCCATTCGAAATCTTGGGTCCTTGATACCGGTTGCGGTATTCATATTTGTTGTGACTTGCAGGGGCTAGGAAGAAGTGAGAATGTGGAGTAAGGATGAATAAACTTAATCATGGGGAATAGGAAAGTTACACCAAGATTGGAGTTTATACTTTATCGCTAAGTAGTGGGTTAAATTTAGATTTGAATAAATGTTGTTATTCACCAGAAATGGCAAGAAATATTATTTCCTTTCATGCATTGTACAAACAAGGTTTCACCTTTTCGTTTGATAATGAAGTTGGTTCGATTAATGCTTTCTTTAATAATGTACTTTATTTTAAAGCATTACCTTGTGATGGTGTGTATGAAGCTGTATCTACTGTAGATAACTTAGGAAATAATGTTTTGTGTATTGATTCTACTAATAAGAATAACTTGGATAAAGCATCATTATGGCATTGTCGTCTTGGACATATAAGCAAGAAACGCATAGGCCAACTCCAAAAGGATGGAGTCTTGGAGTCGTTTGACCTAAAGTCAAATGATAGTTGCGAATCATGCTTACTTGGAAAAATGACAAAGTCACCCTTCACAGGCTCGTGTGAAAGGGGTGAAGGTTTGTTGGACCTTATACACACGGATGTGTGTGGACCATTCAAACATGCCACAAGAGATGCTAATCGTTATTATTTGACTTTTACTGATGATTACAGTAGATATGGATATGTCTACTTAATCAAGCATAGTCAGAGACTTTCGAGAAGTTTAAGGAATTTAAACAGGAAGTCGAGAATCAATTGGGCAGGAACATTAAGATGCTTCGATCCGATCGAGGTGGTGAGTATCTTAGTTCAGAGTTCCTCGACTATCTAAAGGAATGTGGGATTGTCTCACAATTGACACCTCCCAGGACACCGTAGTTGAATGGTGTGGCTGAGAGGCGTAATCGAACCTTGTTGGACATGGTTCGTTCCATGATGAGTCGAGCTTCGCTACCAATCTCATTCTGGGGGTATGCCTTAGAGACTGCCGCCCATATCCTTAATCTAGTCCTACAAAGAAAGTTGCCAAAACTCCTCACGAGATGTGGACTGGTAAAGTACCTAAACTAGACCACATCAAGATTTGGGGATGCGAGGCTTTCGTGAGACGCGAGACTCATGATAAGCTCGAACCCCGAAGCGAGAGGTGTATTTTCATCGGCTACCCACAGCAATCCTTTGGTTACCTCTTCTACAGACCTAGTGACAATGTGGTCTTTGTAGCAAGAAGAGGAGTCTTTCGAGAAAGAGAGTTTATAAGCCAAGGAGACAGTGGGAGGCAAGTTGATCTTGAAGAAATTCAAGAGTCAAGTGGTGAAGGAACTTCAAACTCTAGCCCTCAACTTGAGGAGGAAACTCCTGTTGAGCCAATTGACGAATCTGTACCTCTGAGGCATTCCACGAGAGTTAGGAGTGCACCTGAGCATTACTATGGATTCCATATTACTGCAGAAGGTGAGACACTTATTAGTGATGAGACACTAGTAAGTTCAAGATGACCCTAACAGCTACGAGGAAGCCATGGCAGGCCCCGAGTCTGCTAAATGGAAAGAGGCTATGGATAGCGAGATACAATCCATGTATGACAATCAAGTTTGGAACTTGGTTGAGAATGTACCAGGTCGAAAGACTGTAGGGTGCAAATGGGTCTTCAAGAAGAAGACCGACATGGATGGTAAAGTACACACTTATAAGGCTAGACTGGTTGCAAAGGGCTTCTCTCAAATTCCTGGAGTGGATTATGATGAGACCTTTTCTCCAGTAGCCAAGATTAAGTCTATTCGGGTTCTGTTAGCCATAGCCGCATTTCATGACTATGAAATATGGCAAATGGATGTCAAAACCGCTTTCCTTAATGGGAAGTTGGCTGAAGATATTTACATGAGTCAGCCAGAGGGTTTTGTCAGCAACGAGTACCCTAATAGAGTGTGTAAGCTTGAGAAATCCATTTATGGATTAAAGCAAGCACCTCGCAGATGGAATCTTTGCTTTGATGAAAAGGTCAAGGAATTTGGCTTTTCTAGGAGTGAAGATGAATCTTGTGTATATGTCAAGGCTAGTGGGAGTATAGTTAGCTTTTTGGTATTGTATGTGGATGACATACTACTCATAGGAAACGACATTCCAACCCTGCAGGAAGTAAAGTCCTGGCTTGGAAAGTGTTTCGCTATGAAGGACCTTGGTGAAGCTGCCTATATTTTGGGGATAAGGATCTTGAGAGATCGGAGTAAAAGACTAATTGGACTTAGTCAAAGTACCTACTTGGAGAAGGTTCTGAAGAGATTCAGAATGCAAGACTCCAAGAAAGGAGAGTTGCCCATCCAGAGTAGCGCCAAGTTGAGTAAGACACAAAGCCCTAGCACTGAGGCTGAGATAGCAGAAATGAGTCGAGTACCTTATGCTTCGGCTGTAGGTTCGATCATGTATGCTATGACGTGTACTCGACCTGATGTAGCCTTTGCCTTGAGCATGGTTAGCAGGTTTCAGGGGAACCCTGGCAAGGCACACTGGACTGTGGTAAAGAATATTCTCAAGTACCTACGAAGGACTAAGGACTGGGTCCTTACCCTCGGTGGGAGTGATGACTTGAGAGTTGTAGGGTATAGTGATGCTAGCTTCCAGACTGATAGGGATAACTTCCGCTCTCAGTCGGGCTGGGTCTTTACCCTAAATGGAGGAGCAATTTCTTGGAAGAGTTCCAAGCAAGAGACAGTGGCAGATTCTACTTGTGAATCAGAGTATATTGCAGCTAGCGAAGCGGCAAAGGAGGCGTTATGGCTGAGGAACTTCATTGGAGACCTTGGAGTTGTACCAGCTATTAAAGAGCCGATGGAAATTTTCTGTGATAGTGAAAGTACTGTTGCCTTAGCCAAGGAACCAAGGGATCACGGGAGATCCAGACACATCGACAGAAAATACCATTTCATCAGACATCGGATCGAAGAAGGACTCCTCGTGGCAAAGAGGGTATCATCAGATGAGAATCCGGCAGATCCCCTCACGAAGGGACTGACTCGGGTTAAGCATCTCCAGCATGCTCGGAGCATAGGGCTGAAGGATGATATTAGATTTAGTAGTTAGATAATCTCGAAATTTGTAAAGTGTAATTGACATTTGATGATGAATAAAAGTGTTTTATTTATGAGTAAAGTGTTGCTATCTCTTGTCAATCGTTTACTATATTTCTTTTTGCATGTTTTAACTTCCAGAATAATTTTGTTTGGTATAACATATTATTCAAACCTCCACAGTCGGTCATATGTCGGAAGTAGGTATGAATCAAGACTGTCATGTTTGGTTGTAGAGGTCTGGGACAAGGCTACAACAATCATGAGTGCTCATAAGTTCTGAGCATTGGACTCAACCCACGCTCACTGGAATCACTTCATGGAATTCTATCTCGAGTGATCGTGAGACGGTAATATCATATAAGTCTTTAAACCTAGAGATATGATTTGTTACTTACAAGTTGGTTATGCATTGATTGTACGAAAAACGCATTGGTAACTCGATGTTATAAATCGTGCTCTTGTGTGTAATTCAATGAGTAGTAGAACAAACATATGAGTCGAAGTTTATCTGTTCCTTCTTAGATTAGAAGCTGATATCTGGGCCCCTCGATGATTTTGTTTTGACCTATGTACCGGGCCCAGTCAGAACTAAATTGATGTGTTCAATGAAGTTCTCTGTCAAACAAATCGGAAAACAGGAAACAAATGTTGGACAATAAGTAAGACATTGTTCCATGTATTTGTCCGACTGATATCTAGAACAGAGGATTATATGATCACTTATCTTAAATGGCGTACCATCATTTTCTCAGTTTCGAGAAACCTTGTAAAGAGCTACGATTGCCGATCGGTTCCTGAAGTCATACTTGCAGTAATAGTTATTAGACTTATGCAAGTGGGAGACTGTTGGATAAGGTGTCTAAGTCCATAACTATTTCTGGTATATACTTGACCCGACCCGGCATGGTCCATTTGGATTGCATGGCACCATGCAATTGGATAGACTAAATGAGAGAAATAACACTTGGAGATTATTAATATATTATAAGTTCTAATATATTAATAATATTATTTGATTAGTTTGATCAAGAATTAATTTAGAATTAATTAAGTGATCAAAAGGTAACTAATTAAGTATATGGGTTGATTATGTAAATCATCCATATCTTGTATAGTGGGCTAAAAGGCTCCATGGACTATCAAGTTGGGTTCCACCCATAGGATGCTCCATGGGAGTTACAAACCCATGGGTCATGGAAATGAAGAGTCATGACACATTAGGGTTTAACCCTAGATGTGTCAACACTATATAAGTAACATATTCTCCACCCAAAATTGGCTACACAAAGAATCAAGAGGGCTTGGCCGATTTTGAAGAAGTGAGTATTCTCTCATAAGTTCTTCCAAGAGCATTTGGTGTTGTGTGAAGCATTTGAGGCATCACACTTGGGGTGCTAGGCTCACAAGGTTTCAAGGAACACAAACAACAACAAGGTAAGTTATTCTATCTATACTTTATGTTAAAATTGTTCCCATGTATGCTAGATAGGAATATAACCTTGGAATTCAACTTTGCATGACAAATTAGACAAACATAGATCCAAGGTTATTAGGGTTGCATGTACACTTAGGAAGTGTTAGAATGCTCAAAATCCATCAATAATGATGGAAGAAAATGCACATGGTGATGATGTAAATCAAAGTAATGAAAAAGATGAAGACGCTTCGGAGGCTGGAAATGAACTTGTAAGTATCTAATCAACTGGTTTCTTGATCCTTGTAACTTTTTATTCAAACTTTTTACTGATTCTTTTGGAGTTGATTGTAGGTAGGAGTTGTCTTTGATGAGAATTTATTGGAACTTCTGGAGTTAACAATGTCATCAAACACAGCTGAAACTGTGAAAAGAGCCAAAGAACTGATGGAATTGGGAGTTTACCCTATGGTCCTCATGTCTCAAATGGCTACACTTATTATGGACATTATTGCTGGACCATATCAAGTAATTGAAGCTAGTGCTGACTCATTGTTTGATGGTAGAAGCTGTAAGTTCTTCTCAACTTTTTTCTTTATTATTTTATTTTGATTACTATAAACTGAAACTATGGATTGGTAAATGAAACTAGTTGCTAATTCTTGACTTTAAACTTTTAATATTGTGTTTTTTTCTTTGTTTAAAATTTGTTAAGAGATTTTTTTAATAGATTGTAGCCTCGGAATCCATACGAGACATTGGAGCAGTTGCAAGTTCTCGGGCTGCTGAAATTGGGCTTGATATTCTAGCACAAACAATCCAGGTGTCACCTAGTTATTAATGTTATATTTGTGAACATGTGTATAAATACAAGGGCATTTCGGTCATTATACCCCCATAAAAGTCTTTAAAAAAGACAGGTAACTATTTGTTGCGCTTAATTTATGGATTGATAACATTAAAAAAATCACATCTCATAGTATTTTCAAATATACATTTCTCCTTTTGTCTTACAATTGTTATATTGAATGTTCAGGATGATTTAGATAACATAACTCGTTTTTAATACTAGCAAGAGAACCTATAATCCCAGGAATTGACAAGCCCCATAAGGTAACAAAAAAGATAATATTTTTTATTGTATTTTAAATCAAATTATCAAATCATATATAAACTACCCAAACGATATTCAAATTTTATTTTATTGACTCAATTTTGCAGAAAAGCATTGTGTTTACATTATAAGAAGGCCTTAGGGTCTTGTTCAATGCTTTAGCTGTGTTTGCTCTAAAGGAGATCAACTTATCAAAAGTAAGTTATTTTTTTCACCCTTTTATTTAATATTCTTGTGATTGAATGAAAGTCTTAATGAAAGTAATGGACAACCCTTTTTCTGTAAATGATGTTGTGATTGTGGGAGAGGTGTCGTGTTTTTGTCTGTTGCTAGGTAACGTTCTCAACAACAGCATTCTACTTAAGCAGGTGAGTAATCAAGATTAAGGGAGACTTGTAATAATGTTTGGCATTCCTTTCTAGTAAGAAACAGAGTTGTATGATTATTTGTTAGTTCTATAGGAATGTATAACCCATGTTAGCAATCTATTATTTTTGTTTAACATTTGAATGATTCTTTGTATTACATTATAATTTGTGCAATTTGTTTTATTTTTTGAGTATGAAATTTTACTTTATATTATGCAACGTATTGTATTTTTTGTATATGGTATTTTATTTCTATTATGAGAAATTAAATGAAAATTTAATTTAAAAATTAATAAATATATAAAGTTATTTTTTTTAAACATTTAAATTTACGATACGCAAAAATGTGTGTCATCTTCACTTATGACATGACCTTTCTTGATAGGGCCTTTCTTGATACGCATCGCGTGTCATTAACACGTGTGTCGTAAGGTTACGACAGGCGAATGTGTGTCATCTTCCTTTATGACAGGGCCTTCCTTGATACGCAATGTGTGTCGTAGACAAGCGTCGTAATTGCGCGTCATAAATGTGCGTCGTATATCTGCGTCGTCTCTCTTTATGACAGGGTCTTCCTTGACGCGCATTTGCGCGTCGTCTGAGCCTTTTACGACGCACAATTGGCGTCATAAAAGGATGTTTTCCTAGTAGTGATGGGAAAGTGAAACCATCCCATGCAGGTATTTACACTATATTGTCTAATAACTCACCATATTCTAACTCTTGGGTCCTTGATACATGTTGTGGTATTCACATATGTTCTGATTTGCAAGGCCTATGAAGAAGTGAAGATGTGGAGCACGGAATGATAGACCTAATCAACGGGAATAGGAAGGCTTCACATGTTACCAACATTGGAGTTTATACTTTGTTGCTAAGTAGTTGGTTAATGTTAGATTTGAATAAATGTGTTTACTTGTCTGAGATGGCGAGAAATGTTATTTCTTTTCATGGTTAGTACAAGTAAGGGTTTACCTTTTCTTTTGATAATGAATGTGGTGGTATTAATGCTTTCTTTATTAGTGTTCTTTATTTTAAAACATTACCTTGTGATGGTGTGTATGCAACTGTGTCGGTTGTAGATAACCTAGAATATAAAGTGTTATGTATTGATTCTTCTACTAGCTTGGATAAAGATTCATTATGGCATTGTCATCTCGGAGTCATTTCACCTGAAGTTAGATGATAGTTATGAATCTTGTTTGGTTGGGAAAAATGACAAAATCACCCTTCACTAGTACTTGTGCAAGGGGTGAGGGTTTGTTAAACCTTATACATACTGATGTGGATCCTTCAAAACCACCACTAGGGATGCTAATCGCTATTATGTGACTTTTACTATTGATTTTAGTAGATATGGTTACGTCCACTTAATGAAGCATAAGTCAGAGACTTTTGAAAGGTTTAAAGAGTTTAAATAGGAAGTAGAGAATCAATTGGGCAGGAACATTAAGGTGCTTCGATTCAATCGAGGTGGTGACTATCTTAGTACAGAGTTCGTCGACTATCTTAAGGAGTGTGGGGTTGTCTCACAATAGACACCTCCCAGGACACCACAGTTGAATGGTGTGGCTGAGAGGCGTTATCAGACTTTGTTGGACATGGTTCGCTCCATGATGAGTCAAACTTCGCTACCAATCTCTTTTTGGGGGTATGCCTTAGAGACTGCCACCCATATCCTTAAACTAGTCCCTACAAAGAAGGTTTCCAAACAACTCATGAGATGTGGACTGGGAAAGTTCCCAATTAGGACACATAACATTATAAGCATAAATACTTAGTGAGATCCCCAAAATACCACATACAACACATACGCCACTCAAGGCCATAACTCTATGGGATCTTACAATCCATTTTTATCAAGGGACGTCCGTCCCAACTCTGATAGACCTTTCGGGCCTACCCGTATGACCTTTCGGTCCTCATCATCTTGACCTTCCTATCTATACACTATTGACCTCTCTATCCATATCATGGTACTCATAACATAGCATAACACATACATATCACATAGCAACATATATCACATACTCCACATAACATATAAGACCTTCTGGTCACACTTAGTTACCACTCTAGGTAAAGTATAGTGAGAAGTCTCACCTCTCATGATGTCTAATAAACCTTCTAGCTTGATAACCTTGATCGAGCCTCTGCCTAACACATAAGGCAAACATATCTAATTAATACTCTCTCTTGTCCTCATCTCTATAGAATGGGTAGAAGACCATTTTACCCCTCCCCGACCTCTCTTGAATCAGTTTGACCAATACCCTAAGGTCACCTGAAGTCAACTCTAGTCAACAATCAACTTTGACTAGACTCGTCAAGTGCACTCATGTGACTTAGCGAGACCATGCTTTTCCTCAGACTCCTCCTAAGGTCTCACTCGACTCGTCGAGTGAGACCATTGGTCATGAATCACAGGGCAACCCAACTCGACTTGTCGATTTGGGTTACCTTTCACTCGACGGGTTACCATTGGTCACGAATCGCGGGGCAACCCAACTCGACTCATCGAGTCCCCTTATGGACTCGATGAGTTTCTTCCATGGCAACACTCAAACGACCTTCTAAGGTCAGATTTGCTTCTCTAACCTAAAGATCTGACTTCCCCATGCCCAGTAATCATGTAAAGGTCCAATCTTGACACTCATGCAATGCACACAAGGCTTCTTTTGGTGAAATAGCTTCTAAAATGGCAACCTAGGTTCAATCTCCAATGGGACAGCATAAAGCAGAATGGTTGGGACTCTATGGACCTCTTAAGGTCCAGATCTAAGACTAATTCCACCTTGGGACCTCATAAGCTTCGAATCCAAGCTAAAGAAGGAATAAGAAAACCCTAGATTCAAGAAAACCACCAAATACACGAGAATGAGTATAGATTCATACCTCCTACAGCAGTCCCATGCGAGGAGATGCTAGATCCACTGCCCCCATCTCGTTCCTTGCTTGATTCATGGTCTTTTCCTTCCCTAAAACCCACCAAATTACTTGATTTCATCATAAGAACTCTCCCAAGGCTCCAATGGCGATTTAGGGTTTCTCACAGGAGATATGAGGCGCATCCAAGGTCATAAGCTCCTTTAAATAGGCTCCAACCCCGGAACATAGGGTTTTCTCTACCAGCACCTACTCGGCGAGTCCATACTTGGACTCGTCGAGTCCTTTCATTAAATACCCGCAATCAACTTGACATGACTCGGAGAATCAGACTCTCGACTCGTCAGATCCCTCCTAAATCCTCAAAATTGAAACACAAACTAACATACCCAAAATCCCGGATGTTACAATTCCCCCCCCCCCACTTACTTTGATTTCTCCCTCGAAATCGCTCCTCAACCCGCATAGAAAGAAACCAAACAACTGAAAATCACCCCTGGAAATAATCTCACGCCAAAACGACGTCTTCCTTTATGGATACCTGGACCTGGCCAGGAACTCCTAAATTCGGAAAAAACAAGCTCCTCTGCTGCTAAGATATCCCTCTTGACTTTCCAACTATAAACCTAATAATCGGACACTGATCACCCATCCGATATGTACCAAAAAATCCCAAGTATACTTCAATAGTCAACATGGGCACATTACACCAAATAATCGTCTCCTGCCCTGAAGTCGAATCCCATTGGTTCAAAGAAATTTCAACACCCCGCCTTCAGATATAAGAAATAATCATGCTCCCACAAAATGTCCTTTGACATCTATAATCATAAACACCCAACTTACTCACAATGATCCCTTCTCCACCCTGGGTATTAGGTCATCTCTCAACCAGCCATTAACTTCCAAAGATTATTCATAACATGTTCCTGGTTTCTCACTGACCTCCTTCTCACAACAACTATCTTGGCCCAGTGACACACAAGTCACCAGTTCTCTTTACCCCAACGAATACCATACTCCCATCAAAAATCGCCTCACCCACGATCTTAGCTAAATTAATACTCCTTTGCCTCATGCAACTACTGGTATTTCCATACTAACGAACTGAACCCACCAGGTATAAGATATCGTGTAACAGCCCGGATTTCCAGGTATCTTTTATTCATATATTTTTGGTGTTTTGTGAGGGGACTCGGCGAGTTGGAGCTCAAACTCGCCAAGTGGGATCGCGGTTCTGGACGCGGGTTCGCGCCTGGACTCGGCGAGTCCGTGCTGTTTAATGAAACCCTAATTTCCCGGTCTTAAGCCCTATTTAAAGGACCATATGGCCCTTCATTGCGGCTACCTTGACCTTGAGAGCACCAAAGCAACTAAGGGTTCCTGTGAGTGAGATAAGAGGCCATTGTTCACCAAATTTGTGTGTATTAGCAAGAAAGGAAGGGGAAAGTCAAGCTAGAAGAGTGGGGAGCT